ATGTTTTAAGAGATTCTAGTTAATAAAGTGAAAATGGAATTAAACACTGTTTTATAGTCAAGAATTCTGAATAGAAATATTTCTGGCATTTATCAGTATTTGAATGTTTAAGTTTGCAATATAACCTTTGTCTTTTAGGACTGGATGTATGAGTACATATGCATACGTCCCCTTCAAATTCAAATCAGTAGAAGCATAGGTTTTTTCTGTAACTTTTAAAGAAAAAAGCAGATTTATGGAGTATCATATAATTCATATTGGCACATATATTAAAATGAACATATGACAAGTATATGACAGATGAAAGTACTGTAAAATCTGCCTTTATCATCATTTCACTAAGTTGTGCTATGGAACTGCTTGGTTTTATTTCCTCTGCATGACACAATTTATTTAATTTCCAAGAGTCTTCTGCTACACATGATAGTTCCTTTTTGATGAGGCAGAGAGATACAGAATTTCACGGTAGAGAGAAATACACAACTCTTTATTGCACAATTTTTTTTTGCCAATAAGTTTTAGACTGGTTTTGATTAAAAGAATATACTTGTCCCTTATGTACAACAACTCATCTTTATAGAAGCATACACATATATGCATTTTTGTGGGGAGTAATCAAGAGGCAGTAGGAATTAATTACCAAGAATATTCTAATTGGTTATCCCAAGAAAGATGGTAAATCTTTGATTACCTTTTCTACTGATGATTTAGAATAGGGACTACATATTTCATGATATATAGGATAAATCTATATTTAGGTTTGCAAGTAGTAGCTCTATTTCTAAAATTTTAAATGTGTTCTTAGATCCTTTGAGGAGGAGTTTAATAGAGATATCCTCCTCATCTGTCTTTCAAATCTAAGTGTTGATGTGTAGTGCTCTCAGTCTTTTCAATATGAATATTCCTAACCTAAAAAGGTGATGATAAAAATGCCATTCTACTTCTAAAGGCAGAGAGCAGCTTTGTCAAAGTCCATAAGGACCTTTAAAAAATACATTATTATTTTTAAAAAATATCAGTACCATATACATGTACTTTTCTATTGTATAATTGAATCTTAATACTTTTACAATATTACATATAATTTTATTTTAGTCTCAGGCTCCCACTGTAACTAAGTTATGAATACATTCTAGGACTTCAATCTGTAGTACAGGTTATGCAGTGCGGCATACTCATGGGTAGTATTCACATTAAATACCAATAATCCAATCTTCACCAGTCAAATATTAATAGAATGATGTCTCTATCTGTACAGCAAGTGACTACTTATGGCATAAAAAATGGTGGTCAGTGCCGAGTCAATTTTGATTTTTAATTTTCAACCACTTGTCAGTTTAGCACCCAACTATTTGGGTGCTGGATTTTTGCCACAATCTCTTGTATTCTTATCAGAAGGATGACTTGGGGCTGATATGGTACAAAATTAGGTCTAAAGAAAGAAGATTTTTATGAAACTTGCATCAGTTAGAAATTTCTCTGTATTTCTAAATTTTTCTCTCTTCTTAAGGGCATGTTTGCCATGAGCTTTGAATTCTAGGCTTTCCACTTCAACGTATTCATTGTATGTTCTTTTTTGAGTTCCTCCTGTGTTGCATCTGGGAGCATAACTGCTTGGGAGATTTATATATCCTAGACTCTTCTTTCAGCTGCCATCATGCATGTGGCTACAAGAAAAAGGCTGCTGGGCTGCTGGTTGTAGTGACATTCTAAGTTTGCTGGCAATAATCACCACACACTGTTTCTTATTCAGGAACTGCAAAAGCCTAATAATTATGAAGGGTGTTCTTAGAGTTATCCCATCCCAGAGAAAAACCTGGGGGTTTTGCCCCAAATTCTCATTTGTTCTGTGGATCTATACTCAAAATAGCACCTTTGGATCCAAGTTCCAGGACACTGTTTGAGGATGAACCCTGCCAAAGTGGTTGTAATAACATTTACAGAAAAGACATTATAATTTCTACATAGGGAAATAGTCTCAATGACTCCCTGACTCCCTCACTGTGGCACCTCTGTGAGACAAAGAAACTGTACACAAAATACCAGTTTTCGTTCCCAGGGTCATTCAGAGAGTGAGTGCTAAAAAAGGAAACATAACTCTTCGGAGACTAGAAGCCAATACACTACTGCTCAAATGGTGCTGAGAGGATATTACCTGGTCCTGGGGCACACAGTAGTAGTCAGGTAGAAAGAAAGCATAGGCTCTTATTTTTGCAACAGGGATAAAATGACCTCCAAAGTGTTGTTAAAAAGGTCCTCTCAAAAAGTTCAGATTTCATAAGATTTATATCAGATATATTGGCTTATTCAGAACTTTAATTAAAAATTTTAAAAGTCCTTTATTTCATTAATTGAAGATGTTTGCCTGCAAATTAGAGATTAATTTATGCTTGTTTTTAATTGTTGGATGCCACCACAATTGATGCTGCATAAAAATACATACAGTACATAAAATATGAATTAAAACAAGTGAATAATTATAATCACATCAGCCTAAAGGCAGGAGGCATTTTAATATCAGAGTCTAGTAATGGTGCATGAATTAAGAAGGATTAATTTTTCTGAGACAGTTCAGAAGTATTTAGCCTTTATTCTGCCCTTATTTAAAATGCCTCATATAATACATCTCAGTATTTTACATAATTTAAAGTTTCATAAGACACTTTGTTATCACTCTACGAGGTTCTTCAACATACTGAAACACTCCTAAGATCTTAGGTCTACAAATAATAATCTTCCACACAGATCCTTTGTTCTGAGGCTTTGCATTGGTAATCGGTAGTATCAGTGCCTGTTATAGACCAGCTTCCTAATTTACAATGGTGCTTCTCTTATGGAAATAAAAATATACTTAGATATGTAGGTAGGTGTGTATGTATAGATAAAGGCATTCTGCATTGGTCAGAACATCACACTTAACAGACTGTTTAGCATTAAGATGTCATGGAAAAGTGCTTATATTCTCTACTCTCAAGTATTATTTAGTTAATGTGGGTGGTAAATGTACAGCAGAAAGCAGACACTGACAGACAAATCAGCGGCAACATCCTGTAGTTTTGTGTTCTTAGGAAACAGATAACATGTGTGAACTCTACACACGTGTTAGGACATACTACAGAAAGACACTGCTTCAGCAGCAAGGCTACTGACCATGAGCAAAGTATTTCACAATATATATAATTTTGAATCTTGTTCCAGTGACTGTTCAGCTGGAGTTAACTATATATAGCTAAAAATAAGAGTATCCGAGGGCACTTCTGTGTTTAGCTCATATATTTGCAGGAAACTTTGTAGTAGTGAGACTCTTACTGTCCTGAGTGTATCATAGCAGATTTTATAGCTATTATAGTAATGTACTTGAGTATGTATGTGGAGTTTCTTAAGCAATTCAGCAACAGAAGAAGATGTGGTAAAATTAGGAAGATTTCTAAGGGGAAAAAAATGAGAATCCTTACCAATTGTAAAAGTTTCACTGGAGCGCAGAGGTTGTATTACCATATTAATGCCATTATTAAGGTTTTGATAAACACATTACATATGAATATTAACATGAGATAGCCTGGATTCAAGCTTTTCACAGAGCATAGAAACATTATCTTGGATTCCTGAATGCATGTCAGCATAGCCTTTGATCCTGCTTTGTAACACATCTTCTGTTTCAGTTCTGGGATTCTGGGTCTTTCCTCTACAGAGTCTTCCAACTCTAACAGATTATTTCAAAGTATGTGGTAGCTTTGTGATGTGAACAAACATCTACTGAGATCAGATTCTTTAAAGTATATATGAATAGTAAATTAGGTAGATGGAGCACTTGTTTGCCTGCAAAGTGTTTCAGTTCCCTCAGCATGTGAGCTTTCTCTATATTAAAAAGCAAATCACAATCAAAGAGCCTTACATGGGTTTTATATTTTGACCTTGGCCAAGTCACTGAGCCCCCTGTGGTTTGGTTTGAAGCTCAGATTCTTGCATGTGCAAAATGCTGATGTTCTGTGCATCAAGGTGTACATTTTTTTCTTTTTTTTTCTGTGTAGAAATATATGAATCCTACAGCTGACTTATATTTTTTTAAGTTTCTAAAACTTTTTTTTCTTTTTTTTCTTACTCTTGGCCAGTACTATATACACAAACTGCATGTCTATGTCTATTTCCATAGACATGCATTCCATGTCTATTTCCATAGACATTTTATCCTTATCTGCTACTTCAGTAGCAGAAGTTCTTCAGTTTGCAGCACAGAGGTCCTGAGTTTTGCCTCTGTGCTTAAGGAGAACTCTTACTGAGTTTTAGTCTCGGCTGCAACAGCTTCTGTGACCCCAGAGTTCACAGTCTGCCTCTTCTTTGGCTATGAATCCTTCTTTTTCTCTTGTGGGAAGAATAGTACATGGTTTTTTTTCTTGGAAATGAATGGTATGACCTGAGAGGCTCTTTTTTATAGCAACTTTCTCACTCTTAAAACTATAGCTGAGGACTTTGTGCACAGTTTTTCACCCCCTGGGGTATTATGAGGTGATTAAACCACTGAACTACTGCCCATTTGCTGGTCCCACAGAGTCTTCCACTCCAGGCCCCTTCATGATTTGTTGACTTTAGGAAGTGCTTCTCCTGCTCTTATTTATGTTTCTTTCTGTCTTGCCTTCCTCCTACTCCCCCAGCCAAGTGTTTCTAATACCAATTTAATGTTTTTTTTCAGAATGTGATTTTAGGAATAGAAAAATTCCTTCTCTCCTGAAAGGATAAAGGCAGAGTTGTCAGCAGGCTCTATGCAGCATCATCAGGCCCAGAGCCGAGCCAGCCCTCTGCTGGACAATGACTAACATTCAAAGGAGCCAAACCTAGGAAGAAGTACGCAAAATGAAAATAGAAATCTAATTTTCTTGTCAGCTCTGTCAGTAAAAAGCAGAAGCACAACTTCTTTTCTTGCCAGGATGTGGAGGAAAAGGTAAGTAGTTTGGGCATGATAAAAGCATGAAACCACAAATTTTGTCCCTTGTCCCTTTCAGATTTTGCCACAGAGCATTTGCAGGAGAAATGGTGCTGGTTGCTTAAAGAGCCTACTGGTTATGAACTCCAAACCTTGCAGAGGTGAGTAGTTGTCTCTGAATATCATGTTTCCTGCATTAAAAGAGGAAAGGTAAATGCCATTTGTTGGGTTTTTTTTGGTTGAAGTTCTGATCTTTTCCTAAAAATTAAAGCACATTGTGAAGTGGGGGTTATTGAAATTTATAGAATTATGTATAGGGTTAATCAAGAACCCTTGTTGAAAATGATACATCCTTTTTCTTCTTTGCCTTGACAGGCTTCCTGGAATTTCTGACTTAGTATCTTGACCTTTTTCCCTGTCTTTTAATCTTTCAAATATTCTTCTTCGGTTTGGGTGCAGCTTTTAACATTTATTATGTACTTGTCTCAGTTGTGTCAATGCGCAAAGGAAATAATCCTTGATTTTTCTGGTGAGCTGGGATACCAGCTAAGACGATAAATTGTGTCTGGGATCAAGTGTTCAGACTACAACTGTCCAGACAAGCTGATTGGTGATTTCATGCCTTCTCTCAGAGGCTTGTTTTATATAGTCATTGCTTTCTGTATTAGCTCCTTTTAATTCCTCTGCCTCTCAACACTGCTTAACTTTATGTTGACTTTCCACTTGGTTCTTTTAGCTTATTTCTGAATCCAGGGACAGACTCTAATTTGAGCAAAAGTGCTTTTTTTTTTTTGTATTTGCTGAATGCCTTTGGAACACAGTTTTTATGGATGGAAAAAAGCAAGATGAAGAATAAATTAAAAGATGTTATGCTTTTTTCCACCAGTGTCCTAAAAACCTGGATGATGAACAGATATATTTGCTTGTATTCAGAGATAAGTTTTATTTCTTTTTATTCTTTTAGTGGGCAATGCATACTGATGTGTTTTCAAATGCAGACAAATACACATAATCCTATGAAATAATTTTGTTGGGCATCTAGGAAAAGTTTGCTTAGTTGTTTGAGGTTTCCTGAGGTAAACATAAAACTTTCTTATTTTTTTTTTTGTTGAATGGAAAATTTATGTTAATTATTCTACCTTAACTTGGATTGTCACTTTAAATTCACCTGCTGAGTACTGTCAACTGTTGTTGGTATCTGTGTTCATGCCTGAAGATGTCCATATTCATTACTGGATTCCTTTAGCTTAACAAAGCTTGGAATTAAATGCAACCCAAAAAGCAAGCATTTGTCATTCTGTGACGCATTGAGAGCTAGTGTTGCTAAATGAAAGGATTGTTTCAGGTATTAACAGTCCAGTCTGTTTACGGAACTCTGTCCATTTCTGGTGGAACTATTGCAAGAACAACAACATATTACCATCTGTGTCCTCGCAGAGGCTTCATATCTGAATGTTTAGCATTTCAAAAATCTTACAGATGTTGATATTGCATTATTCATTTAGTTGGAGACTGCCACAGCTGTGTACTTTCCTGTATATTCTTTCAAACAATCTGGTAGCAGACTCTAATTTGAGCAGGGCAGAGTACAGACTGCAATTTTGATGGGTATGACTCTGCTACACATAATTTGTGCCTATTTGGCAAACTTACATTCTCTGAAGAAGCAAAATGGAGTATTGTCACTGCACTCCAGCAATTTCAGTATTCCAATGACAATATAATATGTTGAAAATGAACATGCCTTGTGGATATCTGAATGTTTCTGTGGTATTGAAATTATTTCAGAGAATCCTTTCAAATCAATATATCATCTTGTCAATCAATACATCAACTTGTCAATCAACAGATTAACAGAGTGAAAGAAGTGGAGCATCAAGAAAAGCAAGAGAAATAGTGAAGGGAAAAGGAGGAAAATAATATGACAAAAAAAGGAGGGAAGGATATAGAAGAAATGGAAGAGAGTGTGAAATGCACTGTATATTAAAAAACTAAAAAGAAGCAAACAAAATGGAAACACATAAAAAAATGAAGAAATAATTAATTAAATGGTTAAGAAGGGAAGTAAAAACTCAAGAGAGTTCATGAGAAAATATTTGGTGAGATGCAGAATGACATTAAATACCATCTGAGTTAGCTACCTGAGAAGATATCGGATTCAAAAACACAGTTTCTCAAATATTTCTAGTGAGTAACTGGTTAAAAATACTCTACTTTTCCTGTGACTGCACAGCAGGAAGAAAAGGGGATTGGAATCCAAATTGCCAAATGTCTATTGAACACGATTCTACCCCAGGAATCAGAACAAAGTTCTCTTTGTTTATTTCTACTCATAGAATCTGATATTGGAATTTATTCAATTGCTTGAAAGCAATTTGTTTTCATAGCTTGTGACTGGGAAGCTCTGCTAACTTTACTGATAATACTTTGAATCCACTACGGTGATACCAAAAGCAAAAATTGACCTTAACTCAGTGATATCTCCCAGAAAGATGGTTGGTGCTTTATGAATTTTTAGGGAGTCGGATCATGATTGTTTTATTATTTTCTTTTCACTTGTTAAATCTCCATTATTGAAAATAACAAATTCACACATTGGATGATTCCCTTGCACAGTCTGAAAGAACCTCCTCATCTTATCTTTCTGAGTTTGAGAAACAGCAATTGAAGTCCATGTCCAAAATGTAATGAAAGAATGAGCATAGTCACCTCTGCTGCTGCCCATCTAAACTAACCGTCTCAATTTAGGAAACCTTTACCCCTATGACATGGTAAAAGTAGCTAATAACATTACCTTATACCTCCTTTGTTCTTACAGCTCTCCTTTTCCTAGGGAAAGACTGGTTTTCTGGCATGTTTCTAGACTCCAAAAGGTTGCTTTTTCCAGGGTCAGAAAAAATGAATTTGTCACTGGACAAGACATTTTTATTTTCAGCTCCCATACATAGTTGGAAAGGCAAAGAAGGGACTGTGTGTGGCTTTAAACGTCACTCATTCTAAGTGAATGCCAGTGATTTTCTCATTCCTCATCTGAAGAGGATGACCCTTAGGTGCTTAATGCCATGGAATCCTTGCTCCAGGACTCTGTAGGGAAAGCTTAGTGCCATCATCCTACACTTGTATGCAAATTTTGTAGTCTGACCCAACTGGACAATTTAAATAGAACTTTGTGATCATTACGGAGGAGGGCCACACTGCTCTACATCTCTTTACTTTTCTTATGGGAAAGTTTAATAAGGCTCCCACCTGTTGGATGCAATCTATTCCACAGTGTCAGTGTCTTGCTTTTCTGGAGAAAAAATTAACATCTTTTGGGACAAGTGTAATGAAACACCTGTTCAGCACCTGGTAACAGCCAAGCCAGTAGAGTTCAGTTCTCATGAAGAACTGGAGGAAGCACAGTTGGTCAGTAGTGAAATAGAACAATTTTATAAAATCAGTCATGTTTTCACCTTGAACTCCCTGCCCTACTTGGATTATCCAGATGGAAGGGTGACAAAAATTATTTGTAGCATTCTGTATTATTGAAGAGAGACAGACAAAAATATTTAGTTATTTAGAGAACTGGATTTGTTGGAGTAAGTAAAAGCATAGGAAGATTAACCCAAGTAACCATTTATTTTTGATGCAAAACCACATTCAAAGTGTCCTTTTAAACATATAGGAGGAACCACACTTTACATAGCAGAGTTAACATGTGAAACTCACTGACAGAAAATATTAACAGTATTCTTTAGTAAAGATTGGTTATTTATGGCAAGAACAAGGAACTGACCATAATTTATACTGTTACAAGTTTAATTTCATATTTATCAGATAGGGCATATAGTCTTAGCTGTGAGGTTCTCTATAATGAGTTATTTCTCAAATAGTTACTCTACGTTTGTCAATAATATCTCTGTTACAGGAATGCTTGATGTTTGAAACAGATGGTATGGACAATCAGTTCAGCAGTTTAATTACCTAGGCAGCCTCATCTCCTTGGATGGTAAGATTGACAGGGAGATAGACAACAGGTTAGCAAAGGTATATAGTGCCTTCGGAAAGCTTCATAAAAGAGTTTGGCGAAATAAACACTTGAAGAAAAGTACAAAGATCAGTTTTTACAGAGCCATAGTGCTGTCTACTCTCTTATATGGATCTGAATTGTGGGTCATCTACCGCCACCACCTGCGACTCCTAGAACACTTCCATCAACGCTGTCTCTGTACAATCCTAAACATCCACTAGTCAGATTATGTGACCAATACTTCTGTTTTAGAACAAGCAGCAGTCACAAGTATTGAGGCCATGTTACTGAGAACACAGCTGCGTTGGGCAGGGCACGTCTCCAGGATGAAGGACCACCGCCTCCCTAAG